AACAATTAAAATTATTATTGCATGTGGTATGGAAGGTAATGGTGATGATAGTGCTAATTTTTTTTTTTTGCTTTAACCTCTGTTTGTAGTTTTTAAATAGCTTATGTAGTTTTTTTTTCTATTCAACCTCTTAACTGCTTTAATTTTTACGCCAGCTGTTTTTGGTTCTGTACACTCTGCCACTGCACCAAGTCTAACTTTTACTAAATAAAAAAAAGAGGCTTAAGTTTCTGTGTGTGTGTGTGTGTGTGTGTGTGTGTGTGTGTGTGTGTGTGTGTGTGTGTGTGTGTGTGTGTGTGTCGCTCTAGGAGTGAATAGATGTGAAGCGCACACATTTATTTGACAGTTTTTATGTGATGGGCAGCTGATTTGTGGGTAGAATGGGTAGCTTTTCCTAATAAATGATGCTATGATAATAACACATCTCACCATTTTCTTATTTTCCTCCATGTATGCTCACCCTTCTTCACTCATCCCAGTCAAACCATTGTAGTTCCACCTTATTTTCACTCCCTCGACGATTCTTTGCGCTTCAACACTTCCTCTCCTCCATCCGCCACACTGTCTTTTTCTACTTTGTGTGTGTTTTACACCTTTAGGTTTTCTAGCTATCCTTCCCTCCAGGCAATATGGACCATTCATCATTATCTGTGAACTTGTCTCTCTGTCTCCTTAAACTTCCTTAAACTAAACTCTACTATCTCATCATCTTGGCTCACTTCTCTCTCACCTTCCTCTCTTCTACCCCTTCCATTCACACTGTCAGTGACACTTAGTGTTAGTGTGTGTGTGTGTGTGTGTGTGTGTGTGTGTGTGTGTGTGTGTGTGTGTGTGTGTGTGTGTGTGTGTGTGTGTGTGTGTGTGTGTGTGTGTGTGTCTGTGGTCTTGTCTGCCTAGTATTATCATGATGACGGATTTTGGTGCTATCTGTGCCTGAATTGTCTATCTTGGCAGCAGTCGGGGTGCTGTGTTGACATGTCCCAGTTCATAGGCCACCCGGATCAGATGTCCGCACTGACCCTGCCAGCTCGCATATGGAGCCTGCATATGGGGCCTCATCTATAAGAAATAGGTGCCCTGAAGGAGCTGCAGTCCCTCCAGCGACGCAAACCCAGTTCATGGAGGCCAGCTCTTCCAAAGGGGCCGTAGGATGTAAAGTGACATTTCAGCATTTGTTTACAGGATACTACAACAATCTGTAACACATACAGAGTGCTGTGAAAAAGTATTTGCCTGCTTTCTGATTTCTTTTTCTCTTTTTTTGGCACATTTTTCACACATTTGGGATCAACAAACAAATTTTAATATTAGTCAAAGATACCCTGAGGACATACAAAATGCTGTTTTTAAATATTGATTTTGTTTATTAAGGGCAAAAGGCATTCAATTCTACCTGGTCTTATATGAAAAAATAATAGCCCGCCTTTGTTAAATCATGAATATTAGGTTTGATTACTGCCAGACTTGTTGAATCATGAAATCACTTACACAGAGCCTGTCTGACAAAGTGAAGCAGGCAAAAGATCCGAAGAAGCAACAGATCAAGCCAAAATCTAAAGAAACCCACAAACAGAGCCACTTCTGAGGCTTCGGGTCTCCAGTGCCATAATCCACAAATTGAGAAAACTTGGAACAGTGGTGAACCTTTCTAGGAGAGGCCAGCCTACAAAGGTTACTTCAAGAGTGCATCGACGACTCATCCAGGAGGTCAGAACTGCATCTAAAGAACTGCAGGATTACCTCAGTTAAGTTCAGAGTTGATGCTTCAACAATAAGAAAGAGACTGGCAAAAAACATTGTGATGATCCCGAAGACATTTAGGAAAATATTTTGTGGTCTGGTTTGTGTTCTGTTACATTTGATGTAAAACTAGCACAGCATTTCAGAAAAAGAACATATTTTTCCCTCTTAATAAATGACATCATCATTTAAAACTGCCTTTTGTATTCACTTGGGTTATCTTTGTCTAAAATTTAAATTTGGTCTGATGACCTGAAACATTCAAGTGTGACAAATAAGCAACAAACAAAGAAATCAGAAATGGGGTAAATAAGTTTTCCTAACATAATGCATTATTTACAGCAAGCAGAGCAGAGTTAATACTTTTATTAGCATTAACCCTGTGAGCTAATATTAGAATATATCATTTGATCTAATGATTAATCTATTCACACAGAAATTTGAGTAAAAAAATCCAGGATCTGCAATATGTTACATGAACCGATGACATACACATTACCACGTGAGATACTATGATTACTCATACTCTCACATTACATATTACTCAGACCTGTACACGCTATTATACAAAAGATGCTATTGTTTTGGAAATAATTGGGCTCAGGGGTTGTTTTGCTGGTTAGTTCTGCAAAATTAGGACTGAAAAATAACTGAAATAATCTTGATTGACAGAAACTCAATGGTTTATGATGAGAGATTTAGTTGCCGTGCTCAACCCATGTGTATGGTTGTTTTGTCCACAAATTATTAATTTTTTATAAATGTTTTCTTGGAAAAACTTTTTAGAACTGCCTCAGATCTCTCTGGGAAATGGTAAAAGAAAAAATCTTTAGTATATTATAACAATCAATCCACCGCTTCCCATGGCTGCTTATCCAGCGTAGAGTTTGGAGTCCATCCCAGCTGACCTTGGGCAAAAAGGTATAGGCTGATCACGTCATAGTCCACCACAGGGCAAACACACACAGACAGATAACCACACACTTTAATACACATGTAAAGCAATTACGAATCACCAAATAACCTAGCATAGATGTTTTTGGATTGTGGGAGGAGACCCACTCAGGCACAGGCAGAGCCTGCAAGCTCCACACAGAAAGTCTTAATAATTTATTTTGATATAATTCACTACTGACAAAATCCATTAAACAACCCTGACACTGATGCCCTGTCATCCTCATTGGATGTAATTTTTTGGCATTGAAACATGTAAACATCCACTTACATCTTCCTTCCTTCTTCTTCTTCTTCTTCTTCTTCTCCTTTTGAACTCCCTCTTATCTGTAAGTCCTGTGAAACAACATCAGAAAAGCGTACCTTTTCTGGCTTCAGCCGTGGACACGTGTTTTAATTTTTTTTCAGTCAGTCGGTCATTCTCAGGTCAAGTCCCAGAAAACTTAATTCCTCAGTATGCTGTTAATATCTGCATGTGAAGTTAAAATGAATGTATATCACAAACACAGGCATCAGAACAAAATGAGCTGGTGCTCACGTGTCGCAACTCACAGCAACTCCGCACTTTACTTGTTCTGTGAAAAAAGTAAAACTGGGAGGTAACTTTTAGAAATGTCAATGTTTTATAGATGTGCGAGCTAAAACTAACATCTTAGTGACACAGATATTTGGGAGTTTAAATAAATATCTTTTCTTTTAAATGCTGTGCAGGAAATCTACAAACTGCGTACTGGGTCACTCCCTAGGTTATCTTGAACTTGAATATATCTTTGGCACGTTTCTGCTGCAGCTTAGCTGTTTATTCTTTTTTTTCATCTGTCTACTCACATTTTCACCAATACTAATAAACACATCAATCTCACTAATATCTATTAAGCCCTAAAGTGAGCACACTTTGACAGTTTTACTTCCTTTCTCTGGGAATTATTTTCTGCTAGTTGTTACCAGCTGGTCCACAAAGAAAAGCACACACCTGGTTTAGATTTTAAAATTGGACAGATGTCTCTATGGAGAATGAACAATCTTATGTTAGCTTAGTTTCATATTAAAGTCACAAGCCATAATACTGTTAGGACACCTTGCATAAAAAAGTTGTATAAAGTTGTATATATAGCCAAAGTAAAGTTTGTACATTTTTTTTTTATGTTTCTGCAAGAAGTTCTTTAAACGGAATTATATTCTAATGCTAAAATATAATCCATTTTCAAATATACTGCTTTATTTTTTATTATTATTGATAAAGTTGCAGTTATTTACTTGTTATCCTGAAGAAACAACACCAAAAAAAGTTTTAATGGTTGAACGTCAGACTGGAGAGCTGCCCAGGGTGTGCCCCGCCTCCCGCCCTCCGTAGATGGGATAGGCTCAGTATTTATACAACATTGTAGATGGCTTTAGTTTGCATGAGGGCATGAACGTCAAGCAGATTACTGAAACTTGCTCCTATTTTAAGTATACTATACCGCAATCCCTCCGATGACACCTGACATCAACTACCAACAACAAGTGCAGACTTGATGTTCATTGAGATCAGTTAGGAAGGATCCAGATGAAATCGGTGCAAGTGCAAAAACAATGGCGACAAGTCCATAAAATAGTAACTAAATGCATAAAGTTTTCACTAGTTATTGACAATATGTTTCTATGGAATTATTTATTTAGCAATATCGCTTTCTTTGTTTCTTCAAATCAATGAACACAACGTTTAAAAAAAAAGAAAAGAAACAAACTAAATTTGAGTATCATATTCAAAACAGAAAAGCACAATTATAGGAAGTGGTGTGGTTAAATATGCAAAACAAATGTTAAACTGTTCCAAACTCTTTCAATGAGGACCACACAGAGGCGGCTTTTATTTATCCAAGTGAACTTTTTTTTGCACAAGGCAAGGACAGGACTTCTGCGTCCTTATTTGCTCTCAAGTTCGCTCTTTTCTATCTCCCCTTCAATCCAAACGCCCTCTTTTGGCTAAAAAAAAAAAAGTCTGGATATTTGCAGCCTGTAGCTCCTCCCATCAACACAAACAAGTAAGCTGTTTGCTTTTCGTGCAGTGAGGTTAACTGATAACACACACTGTGGCATCTTCCCTCTCGTCGCTCACATCCGTCTGTACGCTGCTAGACAGACGGTGCCTGCTCCTCCACCTCAACCTCTACCTTCCACTCCTCCTCCTTCCCCCGTGTGGTGGTGGAGTCTGCCTGTAGTCCGTATCCGGGTTGGACGAGCCATCCGGAAGCGCGGGGCTCGTCTAGAAAGAACTCGTTTACCCACAAGTCCCAGCGACGCCTCAACTTACAGAACTGGCTTCTTGGGCTTCGGGAGTGTTTCCCATTTAAACAAACAGAGCCGAAGATGGCGGAGAGTTAATGGTGTAAAGAAGAAATTATCGATTCGGGAGAGAGTCACGTCCACGAGGTAAGTACGTGCAGCACGCGCGCTCCTATTCAGTCAGTTTGACCAGACTTTGCGTTTGGTTTGCATTTCAATAGAGGACGGAAATGTCTTGACTTGGGTTTCCAGCGGCAGTGCGCACACAATATTGGCATCGGCGCGGTGCGGAGGGCACAGAATACATATTTTATTTTATTATTTTTTAAAAAGTAAATGACAGAAAACATTTGCCCTCGGTTTGTAACGGTGATGCGGTGCGTGTTTCGGTGCCATGCTTATTTGCAGCACGGCTGAACGTTTGGCACATTTCATAAACTTAACTTGATCGCACAAGCTCGCCAGTTTACGCACGAGCCGCTGGATCGCAATAGTGCCTCCAGTAGATTTGCTGCAGAACATGAATAAGTTTTGGGACAGCACATGCTTTGGGCTCGCACGCTCGCGCTTGAACGCAAAATCACGGGGTGATTTATTTTTTTTGTTTGTTTTAAACCGGTTGATGCTCGCTGTCCGCGACAGTCGGTGGGAAACAGCTGAGCCCGGTGCTGTCGCAACGTGAGGGAATTTGGACCGGGATGTTTGATGAGCAGGAGCGTGCAAACACACTCGGCTGCGTACTGTATGTGAAAGCGGCTCCCGCTGTGTTGCTACTGGTCGCTTTACAACAAACGTGCGCTGCAGGAAGGAGGCAGACGACGGTGACCGTCCGTCAGTCAACCAGCCGCTCAGCCAGCCTGCAAGACCGATTAAATTCAAATAAATAAAGTGCAGCCGGTCTACGGCGTGTGTCTCCAGTGTGCACGTCAGCAGTGCACGAAGGGGTCATGCATTGCCTTAAAATGTGTGAGGTGATACGGTGAATGCTCGTCGTGATGGTGTCTTTTTCCTGTTAGGTCCTTCATAACCCCTCCTGCCATCTGCTTCATCCTCAGTAATGTCTCTAACTGTATATCTGCAGGGGGCAGCAACGTGGCCCTGTGCGTACCCGCTGCTCTGCAATTATGAAGGTGCACGGTTTGATCCCTGAAACAGCCAGCCGGTGGTGTAAGTGTGTGTGTGCGTACGCCGGAAAGCGCTGTGTCCTTGAGCATGACACCAGAGCCCCAGCTCACACTGGATAATAGCAGCCTTACAGTTCAGTGTGTGTAAACAGAGGTTGAATCGGAGTGATGCTGCAGGTGAGGGATGTGAGGCTGAGTTGATTATATTGAAGTCGCTGTCTAAATTTAGATGCGTGTCCAAACGAGGCTGCAGCTAACAAAGATGGTTTTCATTAGTCTCTTTTATAAGATATAAAATATTTAAAGGTTAAAGACAGTGACAGCTCAACACTCACAGATGTCCTTCTCAAAAGATGTCAATTTGCAGCGAGTCACAGATGAAATGCTGCAACCAGAGAATTCCCCGTGCTTATTTAGTGATGCATGACATTATAATGTCTAATGTTATTGTTGATGGCCCCTTCCCCCCCGAAAGGTTTACATGAAAATAAAAATGGGTTCAAGTTTCAGCTACTATAACAATCTGAACTATTTTAATTGGCAGAAATATTCAGTTATACAACAAACTAACAGTCAACTAAATATTAGCCAATGGGAAGAGTTTGTTGATCAGATGTTGGTTCGTTTGTTGGTCGATTAAGGGGAAGAAAACTGAGTTGCAAACAGACGTTATAGTTAGATAGTAATTACACACATCAGGCAGGAAGTCCAAAGTGTGGGATCATTTCGAGAGGAAGGGCATGACTCCGAGAGAATAGCATGCAAACTCTGTAGGGAAACATTTGCCTATCATTCTTTGACTTCAAACATTGCTTTTCATTTGCAACTTGTAAGTAGCTCAGTGGTAGACACTTTGCACCATAACTTACTTTAATGTTCAGCTGAGGGTGTCCTTGTTAGTTAAAAAAATATGAAAAAAATATGATGGACATCATATTTGATCCATTAGGATTGCCAGTTCTAAATTGTGAGCAGCTGCTGGTTTCTTGTTTGGCAATGGTAGTAAACTTGGGTTTTGGGGCAGTTAAATTTGTGACATTGGGCTTTGGCAAACAGAGGTGGACTTTATTTTTACAGAAAAAAAATTATTTAGTAAATAACGGATGACAGGACAACTAAAATAAACACTTTCAGGCCAGTTAGCTTCTTCTGTTTATCTTACTGATGTTTCATATTCAGTCCTGTTAAGCCACTTACTGAAAGCTCTATTCTCCTAATTTAATTGATGTATAGTTAGTCAAATGCTCTCCGAACTGTCTGGCTGCTGCTCGTGACGGGGTTTTAATCAGGAATTTATTATTAACAGTAATTGTTTCAGCTCTGTGCCCCAAATGCGTCTGTTGCCCAAGTGAGGGGGGGGGGTTGGGTGTCGCAGCAAGGAGCCGTTGTCTCGTTGCACGGCACCCATCTTCTGACAGATTTACAGTCAACTCTGTGGACCAAGTCTCTGCACACGTGCTGTCGCACACACGCCTACAACCTGCTCACAAGGAACCGAAGGCAATGGGAACAGGGAGGTGCTGTGAGCGAGCCGCCAGGACTCATGAGGGGTTTCGCCAAGCGCATGGCGGGATGAATGCATTGACAAGGAGGAGGAGGGTGACAGTGATGCATTATGTTTGCTGAATGGGGAAAAAGGGGACAGAGGTTAGCAGGGGATGCTGGTGACTGGGTCAGGCACTGGGGGCAGGGCTCGTGAGGCTGAAGCAGAGAAGCAGGACATCACAGCCTGGGAGCTTGGGAATCTGTGAGTGTGTGTGTAGAGGAGGAAGGAGGGGGTGTGTACCGAAAGGGGAGGGGCTCAGGTGGAGCCTCTTGCTGGAATTCCACCTGGTATTTCTCATCTTTTGTCTGCGTCCTGGTCTTTGGTCAATCTCGTTTTTACCCACCTCGACTTTGCTCGCTTGTTTCTGGGTGTGTGTGTGTGTGTGTGTGTGCGTGTGTGTGTGCGCGTGTGTGTGTGTGTGTGTGTGTGTGTTTTCCACCTCTATTGTGGACTCAGGAAGTTTTCTGCCTCAGATTGTTCACATTCTTTGCCATTTTCTTTCTTCTCTCTGTGGCATGTCTCTCGCTGTCCCCTTGCCTCCCCCAGCTCCAGAGTAGTGAGCTAACTGTTGTCCTGTTGTTGCTGGGGCCCCTCTCTGACATGTCAGTATGTGTTAAACAGGAAATAATCTTCACCAGCTCTCATTGATTTCACTCTGTAGAGGAGCGGGTGCTCATATTTAAATCTCACTCATTTTTGTCCACCTGTCTTTTACTTAAACATCAACACTCCAGCGATGAATACTGGGGCATCTGATTTGCAGGGTTTTTTTTCCCAAATAATATTTTGACCTCACTGACAATAAAGTATTTTAAGTTTCAATAAGCGTACAAAAATCTACTTTACAATCGGGTATAGAAATATATTTTTCCTCAATAACCCTTTAGTAGAATTTAAAAAGACTTGTTTTCAAGTTGGATTACTGAGCTAAATAATGCTTGTGTTGTGTGATGAAGAAATATTTATAATCATACTCTTATTACACATAAACCTACTGGGCTACTTGCATGTTTATGTTATAAAACGGGGCGCTCTAGGGCTCGACAGTTCATCAAATTTAATTTTCAGTTCCAACTCTGGCTTTTACCAATGAGTAACCCTGGACAGTTAAGTTTAAATGACTACTCTGCTACATGTTTGCCCTTCACTAAAAGCCCAAATCTACTCCCCATCATGATGCTGCATCTTTAGTTCAGTGCCTTTGCGTAATGTGACTTAAATTATATTCATTGTGATATAGTTTAAGAGTGATTCTTCATTAAAAAGATCAGTTACATTTTCAATAAATACACAATGTTTCCAAGATTTCTTAATAATTCATAATTTGAAAATTATTTTGAATTCAGTAGAAGCCAGATACCTAATGGATGATGGTTGCATGATGTGCACATAGTGCATCTTTAAATACACATGATGCTACCTGCAAGCCTTCAGACCAAGACCTAAACCTGAGACCTGGAGACCATTTGGTGACTCTCCCTAGAAACCGAAGATTTTTAGAGAAATTGACCCTCCTTGATTGGTTGGCGTGCAGTTCCTGGCTGATGCTGTGCGGCATCAGTTGCAAAGAGAGAGCTGCACTGAAAACCTTGTGATTGCTCTCGTTGTTTGTAGATTGCTACAGTCACCAAAGTTTTCATCTTTTCTGCAAAAAGTACTTTTGGTTTCATCATTACAAGGGGTCACTCCTTCTGGAATCGCACCGGAATCTTTTGCTTGTTATCCCAGCTGCTAACTAACCACCGAGCAGGAGTTTAACTTATAAAAGCATGATGCAAACAAGAAATGGAAAATGTTTACTTTCAAAGTAAAAGCTGTGCCTACACCACCGTACACGTTACAGAAGTAGCAACTTTTGTCATGTGTAGGCCGTGTGCAGGCGGGAGCGGTGGTAAAGAGGACCCAAAGTGCAGACTTACAGAGATGGAAGATAAACTCAAACTTAGATTTATTATAAAACAAAACTGAAAACTACAAAAGCTGACAGGCAGAACACACAGCATAATAAGATGGTAGATTGCGACACTGACACAGAGAAACACAAGGCTTAAATACACAGAGGGAGCAAGCAGGGAATGAGAGACAGGAGGGAAACACAGCTGAGGCAAATCAGGGCTAACGAGACAAGGGAAGCAAAACCAGGTACATTAACATGAGACAAGGACTTTCAAAGTAAAACAGGAAACGTAACACAGACATGGACTTGACAAGGGGACACAGCAGACAGGGGAGACAAAGCAACTAAGAAACACAGACAGAAACCAGAACATTAACAAAGAAACCAAAAGACTAGAAACCAGTGAACCAGAACGTTCTCTATTTCTTTCACAGGAGTTGGCTGCTGAGATTTCTTCCTGTTAAAAGGGAGTTTTTCCTTCCCACTGTTGCCAAGTTCTTACTTATAGGGGATCATCTGATTGTTGGGGGTTTTCTCTATTATTGTAGGGTATTCGCTTTGCAATATAAAGCACCTTAAG